CAAATGTTTTCTATTGGCATTATTATTTTATTTTTACAAGAAAATATACTTGTGTATTCTTAAACACAAGAGGACTTTAACAAGTTCATGGAAAAGGTCATTAAAGTAGGAGTTTATTTTCATGCGAAAAATTTTTGAAATTCAATTGTAATTTTTCCATTATACACATTTTAAAATAAACTTTTTGAAGACCTCCTTTTGTTTTTTTTGAGGCTCTTCGTGGTCAAAAATGAGGCCTGAGAGATAAAAAGACAGTAGTTATTAAACTAAACCTTAAGTGAGAAGCAAAGACTGTAAAGCTTTGATCCGTATTCAGGAGGACCAGGTTCAAGTCGCACAATACTTACTGGGTAAGTGGCCTGAGGCGAGTTAATTTCCCTGTACTTCAGTTTCCTCATCTTTAAATAGGAATAATAATAATAATATGATGTGCTTGAGGCTATTTAAGAATTACATTAGTTAATGCATGTAAACTATGTAGAATAGTCATTCTGATATATTTCTCAATAAGAGATGAGTTTTTTTTGTAAATGAATTTTATTTCAACCAAGAGAAATTCTAAAGGCTTATTTGATACCTAAAACCATGTTTCTTCCTTTATATACCATCAAGAAGTCACATGTCCTGGGACCAGCAGTTAGCGTAATGTCTATGTTGCTGAATTCCCATGTAGCTGATTTCAGTTTGAGTCCTGGACCCAGTGGCTTAAACTCACGTTGGGCGCATGTGCGTGCGTGCCCAAGACCCGGAGAGGAGAATGGAGGAGAAGGGATTGCGGCGTGGCCATCCCCCCCATGGGAGTGATTTCTTGCTTTCTATCTCTCTGTCTCTCTCTGTCTGTCTGGCAAGCATGCACGCCCTATAGCAAAAAAAATCCTCTCTAAAAAAAATGAAAAAAAAAAAAAAAAGAAGTCACATGTCCTCAATTCAGATAATGATATAAGAGTTACTTTAAGGGGGTCATCTCTCCTTACTATTGTGGGAAAGGTATTTCAAAACAACTATGGGGCCAGCAGTTAGCATAATTGTTATGTTGGTTGTCTCCCACGTAATCGACTGTGGTTCGCATCCCAGACCCGGTGGCTTAAAACTCATGCCGGGTGCGTCTGTGTGCGTGCCCAAGATCCTGAGAGGAGAAAGGAGAAGGGATTGCGGTGTGGCCATCCCCCCTGGGAGGGTGATTTCTCGCTTTCTGTCTCTCTGTCTCTCTCTGTCTGTCTGGTGAGCGCACGCGCCCTATAGCAAAAACCTCCTC